ATGCTCAGAATAAACAGGAGAGAAAGATGAAAAGCAGAACGAAGATTTCAAACGTGAGCTTCACCTAATCCATTACTTTTCAAATGACCAGGCCTATCTCTGTAGCTGAAAATCACTTCATGTAGCATTTCTGATGTACAACCTCAAAGTTCAGCTAAGAAACTTACAAAGTCTCTCTGCTTTAACTTGGAGCACTGTGTGAGTGTGGGGGAAGGGAGGGGTGTTCTGCCCACTGACTCCTTCCCGACGTCGGTCTAGTTCCAACTTTCTCTTTTAACCAAGTCAGTGGCCGTCAATCCTGGCTGCACTTTAAAATCACCCAAGGAGTGCTTTTAAAAAGTACCCATACCTGGGCCCCACCCCAGACCAACCTAAGAAGTTTTAGAAATAATATGTAGTCCAGAATATGCAGAAACAGATCTTCCCTCTGCCCGCTTTTGAGAGATCTCAAAAAGTCCAAGTCACTGTGAAAAACTAAACATATTAAAAATGAATTAATACACATGCTTACCAACCTGAAGAAGAGTCTTACCTCTTCAATATCCTGGTGAAGTCCATGTTCATCACAAACACCTGAATTAAGGAGTTAAGGCAGCAGGTCTGTCCAATGTTGTGTAAACCAAACAGGCCTATAAGGGGAAGAGGAAAAAATGCTGAGGGCAAGCCCTGGGTAAAGAAGTTGACAAGGCTGGGCGTGGTGGCTCACGCCTGTAATCCCAGCACTTTGGGAGGCCAAGGCAGGTGGATCACCTGAGGTCAGGAGTTCGAGACCAGCCTGGCCAATATGGTGAAAACCCCGTCTCTATTAAAAATACAAAAATCAGCTGGGCGTCAAGGCAGGTGCCTGTAATTCCAGCTACTCGGGAGGCTGAGGCAGGAGAATGGCTTGAACCTGGCAGGCAGAGGTGCCAGTGAGCCAAGATTGTGCCACTGCACTTCAGCCTGGGCAACAAGAGTAGAACTCCGTCTCAAAAAAAAAAAAGAAAAAAAAATTTGACAAAAATCATATGTTTTTCTTAAATCTACAAAGGACATGAAATCCTGTAAAGTTCTCTTTGAGGCCACACGAGGGTTTAACTGTCTCTCTTACTTTTAATCAGTGAAATTGACCTATCCATGAAGAGGCAGATATACCTAAATAAGATGAGAAGACCCTATGGAACTTCAATTTAATAATACAAACTAATACTTTAAAAACCCACAGGCATTAACCTACTGTCAGTGTATTATAAATTTTGGTTGGGGTGACCTCGGAGTACAGCACAGCCCCTGAAAGACATATACCAAGACCTCACTAGTCTAAGTAAATCTACACTTATTGACCCAATAACTTGATCAATGGATTAAGTTACCCCAGGGATAACAGTGCAATCCTATTTTAGAGTCCATATCGACAATAGGGTTTACGACATCGACGTTGGATCAAGACATCCTAATGGTGCAGACGCTATTAAGGGTTCATTTGTTCAACGATTAAAGTCTTATGTGATCTGAGTTCAGACTGGAGAAATCCAGGTCGGTTTCTGTCTATTAAATATTCCTCCGAGTACGAAAGGACAAGAGAAATAGGGCCTACTTCACAAAGTGCCCTCACAAATCAGATGACTATTATCTCAATCTTACAAGTTACTACTCCTACCCAAGAACAGGGCTCGTTAAGATGGCAGAGCCCGGTAATTACATAAAACTTAAAACTTTATGATCAGAGGTTCAATTCCTCTTCTTAACAACATGTTTATAGTCAATGTATTTCTACTAGTTATTCCTGCCCTAATTGCTATTGCATTCTGAACACTCATAGAACGAAAAATCTTAGGCTATATGCAATTCCGCAAAGGCCCTAACATCGTAGGCCCCTACGGAACACTCCAACCAATTGCCGATGCAATAAAACTTTTTACAAAAGAACCCCTACCCACCGCATCCACCACAACTCTATACATAACTGCCCCAACCCTAGCCCTCTCCACTGCCCTCCTTTTCTGAACCCCCCTCCCTATACCATGTCCCCTAATTAACTTCAACCTAGGCCTCCTATTTGTACTAGCCACATCAAGTCTAGCTGTCTGCTCAATCTTATGATCCGGATGAGCATCCAACTCAAACTATGCATTAATCGGCGCATGACGGGCTGTAGCTGAGACACTCTCATATGAAGTCACCCTAGCCTTATTCTACTGTCAACCCTGCTAATAAGTGGTTCATTTCACTTACACTCACTCATTACAACACAGGAGCACTCCTGACTCCTACTACCATCATGACCCCTGGCCATAAGATGATGTATCTCCACATCAGCAGAAACGAACCGGGCCCCCTTCGATCTAACACAAGGCGAATCAGAACCAGTTTCAGGTTTTCCTACTGAATATGCTGCAGGCTCATTTGCTCTATTCTTCATAGCAGAATATATAAATATTATTATAATAAATGCCCTAACCACTACCATCTTCCTAGCAGCACCCTACAACGAAACTATATCAGAACTCTGCACAATTAATTTTAGAACCAAAACCCTTCTGTTAACTACTCTATTTTTATGAATTCGAACAGCATACCCTCGATTCCGCTATGACCAACTAATATATCTTCTGTGAAAAAATTTTTTACCACTTACACTAGCACTATGAACATGGTATATTTCAATATCCATTCTTATATCCGGCATTCCACCCCAAACATAAGAAATATGTCTGACAAAAGAGTTACTTTGATAGAGCAAATTATAGAGGTTTAAATCCTCTTATTTCTAGAACTATAGGAATTGAACCCAGACCTGAGAACTCAAAATTCTCCGTGCTACCTATCACACCATATTCTAAACAGTAAGGTCAGCTAAATAAGCTATCGGGCCCATACCCYGAAAATGATGCTTTAACCCTTCCCGTACTAATATCAACCCTCTAGCGCACCTCATTATCTCCCTCACTATTCTAATAGGAACCATAATTACGATTTTAAGCTCACACTGATTCCTCATCTGAATAGGCTTAGAATTAAATATGTTAGCTACCGTGCCAGTACTAGCTAAAAACACAAGTCCCGGCTCCACGGAAGCATCCACTAAATATTTCTTAATTCAAGCATCCACATCAATAATCCTCTTAACAGCCATTTTCCTCAACAATCTAATTTCCAGACAATGGACAATTAACCCATCCCTTAATCAAATTTTATCTATAAGAATATTAATTGCCCTAGTAATAAAACTAGGGATAGCCCCCCTTCACTGCTGACTTCCAGAAGTAACCCAAGGCGTTCCCCTAATTCCCGCCATACTCATTCTTACATGGCAAAAACTAGCCCCTGCATCAATTATCTTCCAAATCTTCCCGTCAATCAATATAAATATCCTCTTAATAATCTCAATCTTATCCATTATATTTGGTAGCTGAGGGGGACTTAACCAGACACAGCAGCGCAAAATCCCAGCTTACTCCTCACTCACTCACATAGGATGAATGGCAGCAGTACTAAACTGCGACCCAAATATTACATTCTAAGCCTACTCATCTATATCTTCTTAACAATCTCTACATTCATAACTTTTTATCTAAACTCAAATGTAACAACCCTATCACTATCACACGCCTGAAATAAACTCACATGAATAATACCCATAATTCCACTAATAATATCTTTAGGAGGCCTACCCCCACTAACAGGTTTTTCTCCTAAATGAGCTATTATACAAGAACTTACAAAAAATGACAGCCTCATTTTCCCTCTTACCACAGCTACATCAACACTAATAAACTCATACTTTTATGTAAGTTTAATAAAGTATAATAAAGATACTTTTATATAAGTTTAATATATATAAAGTATAATAAACATACTTTTATATAAGTTTAATATATATAAAGTATAATAAACTTATGCTTTTATATACGCCTAACATACTCCATCTCAATAACAATATTTCCCACATCCAATAATGCAAAAATTAATTGGCAATTGAAATATATAAAGCCATCACCACTTCTATCTCCACTTATGATTTCTTCCGCCTTTCTCCTACCTGTAACCCCGCTAATACTAATAGTCTAGAAATTTAGGTTAATAAGATCAAGAGCCTTCCAAGCCCTTAGTAAGTAAATTTTACTTAATTTCTGCACCACCCTAAGGACTGCAAAACTTTATTTTGCATCAACTGAATGCAAATCGATTACTTTAATTAAGCTAAGCCCTTCCTAGATTGATGGGACTTTAACCCACAAAAATTCAGTTAACAGCTAAACAACCTAATCAACTGTCTTCAATCTACTTCTCCCACCATCAGGGGAAAAATGCGGGAGAAGCCCCGGCAGGGTCGAAGCTGCTTCTTTGATTTTGCAATTCAATACGATAAATCACCTCAGAGCTGGTAAAAAGAGGGCTGCTCCTCTGTCTTTGGATTTACAGTCTAATGCTTACTCGGCCATTTTACCTTCTACCTATGTTCGTAAATCGCTATTTTCAACTAACCATAAAGATATCGGAACACTATACTGTACTTACTATTTGGTGCATGAGCAGGGGCAGTAGGAACAGCCCTAAGCCTCCTAATTCGAGCGGAGCTGGGTCAACCAGGAAGCCTAATAGAAGATGAGCACGTTTACAATGTTATTGTCACCTCTCATGCATTTATTATAATCTTCTTTAGAGTAATACCGATTATAATTGGAGGTTTTAGAAACTGACTTATTCCTCTAATAACTGGTGCTCCCGATATGGCATTCCTTCGAATAAATGATATAAGCTTCTGACTTCTACCCGCATCACTTCTTCTACTTGCATCCTCAACTCTAGAAGCTGGCGCCGGAACTGGCTGAACAGTTTACCCGCCCTTAGCAGGGAATATGTCACACCCAGGAGCCTCTGTAGATTTAACTATTTTATCACTTCACCTAGCAGGTATTTCCTCTGTTCTAGGGGCTATTAACTT